AAAAAAAAAAAAAAAAAAAAAAACTAGATTAGTTTTTTGAAAAAAAATAATAATGAATATAGATCTAGTTTTAATGATCAATGAAAAGAAAAAATAATCTTAAAAGAAGATAAGTAATAATTAAAAAGCAAAGATAAAAAAATAAAATATAGTGAGCTTTTTGCTTTGATACCATGAGAAATAGAATAAAAAAAATAAAAAAAGATGACATAAAAATTAAATAAATTGGTTTATATTCACACACCAAATCCATAAGGGTTGCCAATATATATACGACTAAGCTTGAAATCTAGCTCGGATCCTAATTCTTTAATCTAAGATCTTATATTTTTATTTTGATGAATTCTTTGTATAGATGTTACATATAAAAGATATTCTACTTAAGGTTGATACCGAATATGAGATATTAAGGTGTGAGTTGGTGATGAAGATCAAATTACCCATGAGTTTCTGATAGGCATGCTTATCAACCAATTACAAATCCATCTACAAGTAGAACTTGGCATTATTTTCTATCAGTGTTTGTAAGGAATTACATTCTTGCATATCATGCTTGTGGAGAAATCATTCAACATACTATTCTTAAAAGATAAAGATGTCTTTGTTGAAATATACAAATTGCATGCCTATATAAAGTGTAAGTTTACCTAAGACTGATATTTCATATTGAGATTAGAGCAAATTTTTAAGCTTTAGAAGTTTATCATTAATACTGCCAATAATCACAATGTTATCTATATATAAGATTAAAATCAAATAATGCTTGGTAGTAGTAGTTTTAATGTATTTGTTGTGATCATTGTCTTTTTTTTGCAGCCTTATGCTTAATAAGGAAGTATCAATGGATAAGTACTAGAGGCTATCAGATTACTTAGGGCTATATATTGCTTTTTGTAATTAGGAAATCAAATGTTCTTGTTAGTACTTAATGAATCTATATAGTTGTATCATGAAGACTTCTTCTAACATATTTTTTTAAATAGGTTACATGTACATCAAGATGTTTGATCTACCATCTTTTTTGGACTATTAATAATAAAATTATGAAAATGGTGATCCATTTCACGTTTGAGAAGAAGGTTTCATTAAAATTGATCCTTGTATTGTCGAAAAGTTTGTAGTTGGTTTGAAAAAGCACAAAGTTTTTTAATGAGATTATGTTGAGATTATACAAATAGTGATCCATTTTACATGTGAGAAGAAGGTTTTATTAAAATTAATCCTTCTATTTTCAAGAAGTTTATGGTTGATTTGAAAAAATACAAAGCTTCTTATTGTAGAGATATTTATTATTTATGTATGTCTTAATTAGATTCTATCCTCTCTTTTTTGACCTACTTCACTTTAAACTTATATAGCTGAATGTAATATTAATGGAATAATTTGAAATATTTTTTAATAGATTATATATCTCATCTTTTTTTAAAATTTAAAATTTTTAAGTGATTGATGTATTAATTTATCTATAAAAAGTAAATTACCTAATATAATTATTTAATTACTATCTTTTTCTCATAATCCTATCTTTAGTTATTCTTTTTTACATATCTCTTAAATTAAATGTCAAAATACCTTGAAACTTGGTGAATGGATTTTAGACTTAATAATACAATTATGTTCTAAGTTTTATAATTATAGCTTTTATATATATATATATATATATATATATATATAAAGCTATGAACTCTCAAAGTTGCTGCCTTTGACTTGCAATCTTGTTGAACCAGCGTTGCATTAGCACTTTGCTTCTTTATGACTTGATTAGTTTTTTCCTTCGAACTTTGCAAAGAATTGGATACACTTGTTTTAAAAAATATTTCAAAAGCATGCTCTGATCAAAGACTCTAATCAATCATAATAAACTTTTTTTCAAGGTTCAAAATCTTCCATTTTTATTTTTCCAAAATCAAAGATACAATAATCATAAAAAATATTACATTATGTTTCTTTTCCTTTCTTTAAGTCACTTTAAACTCTCAAAATATCCCAAGATATCTCTAAGATGAGAATCCACAACATATGGTCTATCTTCTTCTTTATTCAAAAAGACATTAAGACAATTTTAAGATAAGAATTTATGACTTGTGGTCTATCTTCTCTTTTATCCAGAAGTCTCCAAATGGACTCTAAGATAATAATTCATCACTTGCTGTCTATCTTTTCTTTATCCTCATCCTTTAATCTTCTCAATTATTAATCTTATAGCCAGTCTTTTACTAACAAATAAAAATATACATATGAATTAAAATAACTATATAATTAAAAAATTACTAATAATAATCTAATTATATACTTAAAGTAGGTACAATGTACATGAATGCCTATTGCTTAACTTTTAAATAATCCACATCATGATAGTACATTATTAAAATTCTTGAGCCACTAGCTGAATCTTTAACTTTTTTGTTTGTTGATCCACTGAAACTTTTGTTTGAAAAATCCACTTTGTAGTCACTAGCATTTTATTTGCATGTAATTGTTCAAGAATTCTTATCTTGTTAGAGATAGAGAGTTAAATTCTTCTTCCATGGCTTTTTGCTATTTTTATTATTTATAGTAATTTAATTATATGGTAAAAAATAAAAATATGGATGTTATTATAAAAGAGCCTAATAAAAAAATATAATAAAAAAATATAATAAAATAATAAGGATAAATAATAAAAAGGTAGTAAAAACTCTAGTCTTAATATTTTTTTATAGAAGAAATTTTTATTTATTTTATAGAAGAAAATTGAACCAAATAAAATCAAATAAAATAATTAATTAATATAAGCATATTTAGGAGAGAGTTAATAATAGATTTAAGTAAAAATTACTGAGAATTGATACCTAGAGAAGATTGATTATAAACTCAAGTCAAAATTAGACCCCAAGACACAAAATTGAGCAGCTACAGCAATTTTGAGATTCTTTGGATTGATCAAAAAGTGGGATTTAAGAGTAGACAAGAAAGAAGTTTCTTGAAAATTAATTTTAAGTGATTTAAAAGTGTAATAATTTTGTAAAGGCTTTATAAAGTTAGGATTGTTTTTGAGTAACTTTGGATTTTGAGAAATTCAAAGAGTTTGTACTTTGGACATTTTGTGTAAAATTTATAGATGATCCATATGTGAAATTTTTTTATTAAGTAATAATTTTTGTATGTAATTTGTATTGCAAGTTTGACCTTCATCTAATTGCTTGTTGAAAGTTTATTAAAGCTCAAACATATTAAAGTCTTGAAAATTGGGATTTTAAGGACTTGTGAGGATTTCTAAAATATCCCTCAATCCACTAGTTGAATTGAAATTAAATAAATTGTACAAGTAGTAAATTTGAGACCTATTAAATATGAAATTAAGAGATTTTGACTTTGGAATATCAACATCAAGGTTGGAGAAAGAAGCCAACCAATACCCGAGTAAATTTTAGGAATTAACTTCTATGTAATATATTCAATCTTCTTCAAAAATACTTATACTTGTTGTCAACTTAGTTGTTGAAAAGTGAGAAAAAAACTTAGTCAAAATCAACAATTAAATCATTAGTTATTGAGATTTCAATCTATTTTAGAATTTGTTAAGAATTTATTTAAGATTTAGGATTTGATTAGAGATTGATTAGGATTAGATTAGCATTTTGATAGGATTTCATTAGGATTTTATTAGGATTTGATTAACGATTTGGTTAAGATTCATTAAGATTTTATTAAGGTTTAATCTAGAGTTTGATTAATATTCATTAGGATTTTATAAGAGTTGGTCTAAGATTTAGGATTTAATTAGGATTTAATTAGGATTTGATTAAGTTTTATTTAGAATTTATTTAGGATTCATTTATGATTTTATTTTTAGTATTTCTTTAGAATTCTTTATTATTTCTTTAAAATTTTTTATTTCTAATATTTCTTTAAGGTTTTATTTTTATTTTTTTTTAGGATTTATTTATTATTTTCTTTGAGATTATTTATGACTTCTATATATTTCTTTTGTAACTTCTTTTAAATTTCTTTTAGATTGGTTAAAGTTTGAATAATATTATTAAAAATTATTTAAGATTTATTTAAGATTCTATTAGACTTGATAAGATTTTGTTTGTTGCATTTTTACTTACCTTCTACAATTAGGTGTTCAATGCATTCTCAAGCAAGAATACACATAATACAACATTGGATGTTGGTTTGCATAGTCAAAGCTTTTCAATTCTAGTATTGCAATAAAAGAGAATATATAGACTTTGTACCTCATTGAACGTCTTTTAAGTATGGTAAAGAGCGTCATCAAGGTTATGGTATTAGAAGTTGTATGGCATTAGAAATTGTAGGAGTTGGATCAACTTGCATTGTTATTTAATCATCTCTAGACCATGAGTTTGAAAGAACTGGTTTTTCTTCCCCAGAAGGTTCGTTGTTGTTGTAATCAGGTTGGTGTTTGTCATTGTTCAAGTCATTGTTGTAATCTGGTTGGATAGATTGTGAAGGCTTGTCCTTGTTGTTGGTGAGTCTCAATAGAAAGGTGGTTTCTTTGGATGTTGATGTTTGCAATTTTGTGCCCTTGGTGACTGCCATTTCAAATTCAAGAATTCTGACATCTTTGCTGATTATGACCTTGTTGTTGTTGAAGGCGTATAACATCTAAGCTTTGAAGGCCAAATCATAGCCTACCATCATGTACAATTATGTGTGTAGATCCATCTTGCCTTGGACCTCCTTTTGAATCTGTTGCAAAATATTATATGCTTTCAGAAGCTGTGAAGGATACCATACATCTGAGAAGAATGCTACAGGAATTACAAGTATTTGGCACAGACCCATCATTGTTACTCAATGGCAATCAAAGCTGCAATAAGCTAGTAAACAACCCCATAATGCAAGCTCATACAAAACACATCGAAATACAATTTCACTTTATTCGAGAAAAAAACTTGGGTAGAGACATTACTGTCAACTATGTGCCCACCTCCTAGCAACAAGCCGACATCATGACCAAGCCATTAGATACATTCAATTACTGCTATCTGTGAAATGCAATCGGCATTATAACACGACTTATTTTCTCTTAGCCATACATTATCAATTTGTCAAGCTGGCAGCTCAACAAAATCAACTACGACTACAGTTTCTCTTTCAGATACTTCTCAACCAATTCACGTTTTCTAAAGCATTTAAACTTTGCTCCTTTAACACCATCTACCTGAGCCCGACATTCACTCCAAGATCTATAAATACCAAGGCAAACTCCGATGCTAACACCATAAAATTTACTAAAAGAGATCTTCTGCACATGCTCATTCGACTGAAGTATGATCGCTTCATAGAGTACCGCCTACATCATGGCCTCTCACTGAAGATTGAAGCAACAATTCCAGTAAGATTACAATCGTGGAAAACAACCTCGAACACACTCGGTGTAACGCCAACATCAGCAACCACAAACCTAATAAAAACAACTCCCACTAGAATCATGTCAGAACCTTTCTTCAACAAACAAACTGCTCAAATACGATACGGAAAGAAAAGCTTCAAATTGCGTCTTACAGCATTCAAATCATCAAGTCGCTGCGACAGATGTTCCATGTTTCCATCAAGCAAGAGGGTTTCGGCGCGAGAGGGAGTATTAAAAGAAGCACCCCCAACCTCTCTCAACAGTATGACCTCAGTCGTATAACTAGAAAAAAGACCTTTTAAAATTCACTGCCACCGCAACTGTGAGAGGGTTGAAGATGATTCTGTGTCTCAACCAGAGCTTTGGGTCGCATCGACTTTGAAGATTGCCACATTCCATTGCGTGATTAAGCTCCTCCCTCAGACTGTCGTGTATGCATCACAGGTCATTCGTCTAGGATGGTCCCACGTCGTCTTCTTATAATCATATTGTCAGGTCTTTAAGGTGCTGTTGAGATTTCGTTACTGCACATTCACATCATACTCAATTTTGTTTACTTTATCCCACACAAGTCCCCCCCCCGCTTTACTGTTAGCAAGAACCTTCGCTGACAAGCACTGCTCATGCCAATGCCAAACTTCAAAAACTTTGTCACGAACCTGCAGCACGGAGCACTTATGGCATTGCACATGAAGAAAACGCGACATGATGTCACCAACACTGCCTTCACATGCACATTCACAGCCCGACCTCTACGCCAGCTTCTCTGCCTCCTCTTACTCTTCACTCCAACCTCCCAATGCTAAGCTCCACTACCACAAAACGCCGCTTCACCCAGGAATCTCGCCTCATCCACGCATTAACGCTACTCAACCTCCGCTGCACGTGCACCTCCTCTCTGACGTCGCGATGGTGGATGATTCAAGGGTGGCCCATACTGGCGTGGCTGCCATCATTCGACGATGCGGATGACAAGTTGGAAGTTGGGTGAGAGGTTGCCGATTCACGTCATGATAAATAAATAAAATCGCACAGCCAGACGTCAAAGAAGGGATTGTCTGATTGATGGATCGATGGAGTGATCGATTCCAGGGGGATACGTACAGAGCGGTTTCGTTGAGGTGCGGAGTGTGGTATCATGTTTCGCATTCACAGCAGGAGTCAAAGATCAGAAATGGGAGCTGCGGGGACGATTACTGGGGACGGGAGACGGAGGCTGCGAATAGGGAGGGGATCGGGCCTAGCCGGGGGGCAGGGGCTGATGTTGGGAACGGGGCTGGGGGCTGGGAACAGGGGACGGGGAACGGGAGTGCAATGATGGTTTAGACATGTGGGTCAAGTTTAACATTTCCCTATTAATATATCATAAAAGAAAGACAAGACAGAAAGAAAGAGAGAAAGTAGAATCAGAGAAGGGAGTCAATCCCTGAAGACAGGAAGGAGGGAATGAGCATCGAATGAAGAAAAAGAAGAAGATTCAAGCAACCATCAGCACCAGGAGGAGAAGAAGAATCAGAATAATTACACCCCTTTTTCGCAGCTTCGTTGTTGTCGTTGTTGTTGCTGCGGAGGAGCTAAGTATCTATTCTTTCAATCTATTCTATTCTATCTCACATCCCTCTTTCTTTCCCCACTTACTCTCTCACACTCTCTCTCACTTTGGTGCTGTCAGTTCAGGAGCCTTTTCTTGTTGTGGTGTGGGAGGGATTCTTTTTATTATTAGCACTGCCTGTCTATCTATCTGTCGCTACTTCTTCTACTCCTACTACTACTGCTTCATTTCATCTTGGTTGCCCAGTTTCACGTGATCGTTGCGCTGCTCTTCTGGATGTTTCAGGAGATGGGTGGGTTTGAATCGTGGCAGATTTTGATGCTTTAGGGATTTGCGGTTTGGTGGGGTTGAGCTAGTTTTGTGATTACGAGGAGTTTTAGGAGGCTCTGAGAAGGTTTGGGAGTTTTTGGTGGGGGGGCATGTGAGAAGTGAGCAAGATGGAGGTAAGAGGGAATTGTAATTTGTGCATCTTGGTTCTTTCTTTTTTTTTTGGTTGGGTGAGCGGTTGTTTGCGATTGTCGAATTGAGTGATGTTGGAAGATCTGGTGAGTTGTTTTGGTTCCTGGAGCTTTGTGGTGTTGAAACCCTAGTTGGGGGAATAGGAATGGTTGTGCCGACAGCTTGGGTATGTGTAATGGATGAGATGAGGGTGATTTGAGTTTTCCGCGATGTTTGCGTCAGACGGTGGCTGCAGAATTGATTTAGAAAAGTGTGGGTACTCTAGTTTTGGTTTGTCCTGCTGAATGCAGCAACAAGAATTATTGAAATTGTGTTGGGAGATTCACAATTAAGCACAATTAGAGAAATAGACACAGATGAATAACAGATGTAGAAATGCTGAATGTTTGCGTCGCAGAACGGCTTCGAAGTTGTAATAGTTATCTGGGTGTTTCAGGTAGCGATTAGGTTTGGCGGACATTTTTAGATGTGGGATGCATGAGATGGCCACTGCGGGTATGGTGTGAGAGGACAGGATGCAGAGCCCAGACTCTCGGCTTGACCAGGTATCGCGGTCTTCCTTTTGCTCATTATAGGGTGTATTACGTCTTGCTGTGCTCCCTGCAGTGCTTAGTTTATAATCTAGCACTAGGATAGGCCCTGTTGGTGAGCGGTAGGAGAAAATAGATGGCATCCATAATCTCGTTCTGTGATTCGGTGTTTGTTGTGCCTACTATTATGGCGAAGTTACCTCAGTGAGCCAAGCCATTCAAAATTGAGTACGTTTCAAAAGGTTGAGGGGTGCGAAAGTCGCTGCAGATTGGTTGACAATCTGTTGCGATTGAGTCAATTTGGAACAACTCTATCTGTAAAACTGCGTTTCTTATCTTGTGCTAACCAAGATTTTTGTGAGAGAAATTAACTTTTTGTAAACTTCAGATGAGTTGTTAGCTTATCCAGGTGATGATCTTCTGCACAGCCTAGACCTGCACCACTAGGGCTCTGCCTGATCATTACTCTCTCCTCGTGGTATTTGTTCTCAAATGTGCAGCAGCTCGTGGGGTTTTGCGGTTCCAAACCTTTGGTACACTGCTGAACTTTTTTGTGACAAGTGGTCTTACATTCTATACTATGATGTGTAATGTTTGTTCAGGACCATTACAAAGTGCTTGGGGTGGAATATGATGCAACCATCGACTCTATTCGTACCAGCTATCTGCGCCTTGCTTTGGTTTGTGAACGAACATTAATGCATACTGTAATCGTGTAGGAAGGGTTGCATGTCACATGTAGAGACTGCTTATCGAGTGTGGACTATCACCGAGCATCATTTTCGCGACGTTTTCATCTGTTCATTTATTATGAATTTGAATTTGTACGTACAAAATATATTCCTCCTGCAGAAATGGCATCCCGACAAGCACAATGATGCATCTGCGGCCACTCTTAAATTCCAGGAGATCAACGAAGCATATCGAGGTTAGTCTTCTTGGGCTACCTTAATTAAGGGACTGTCAAGATGCAGCCCTTACCCGCGCCTCTTAGAAAAGGAGTGGGTAATTTGGGGTTTAAGTTGAAAAATTTAAAAGAGGACACAAAGAATAGAAGCAAAGAAACTCTTTTACTGCATTTGATCCTAGCACCTGGACCTGCATATTAAGGATGCTTTCTATGGTTGTGCGTATTAGGTACTATACATAATACAGGAACTCAGACTGCATTGTAAAACTCCTATTTAATGTAGATAATCGTTCGATAATCCAGTTGATTTAGGCCGCTACGTTTATTACAAACGGAATCTAACAAATAGGGTTGTGTGGTTTTGGCTAGTGGAGAACAGTCTTAAGTGACCCATTTATGCGACACGAGTATGATATGCGAGGAAATTACGGTCTTCAGGACTACAATTACACTGTAAGTACTGATGTTATGAATTGCTTCATTTCTGATTTGATGTAAATTCCTTGTGATATGGTAGGTGGATTTGGTGATCTACCGCAGGTCTGATGCCTTTAGGTTCATCTCTTTGGCCTGAACTTGAAGCACTCAGAACTTGTGCTTTACTCAGATGCATTGAAACTAAACAGGTCAAATTAACAAGATTGAGAATTGTATTCATGCTTTGTGGGGACTGCAGGATTACCTCAAGCGATTTAAGAGCTTGATATTGACATGCAATGGATTGGGTATTGGCAGCCGTCTAGACCGGTGATAGTGATTAGGGAATCAATGCTTGACAGTGGATTTGAAGATGAATGCTTCACAGTCAAAGAAATCGTCAGCAGAACGTATACCTTGAGAACTTCTATATGCTCACAATTGTGCTGCATTGGTCAAAGGTAACCTTTTAGTCATATGCTATCAAGTTGCTGCGACATTACAATTAGTTCTGCGTTATGCACTCCCGTACTGTATAGATGACCGTCTTCTCTACAGTTTGATCCTTCTTCAACCTACGAATGGAATGAAGACGGTTAGGAGTAGGTTCGTCATTTCTTGAGGTAGATCAGAAGTGGACAAGCTTATACTGACAGCTACAGTGTCGCTGCATTTCGTCTTTACGATGTTATTGCTATGTAGGTGATGAAACATCTCGATACTGGGTTGTCACCAGCATGTCCAGACCTATCCTCTCCATCAAAACATTATTTTGACACGTTTTCTCCGCAATTAAAAACTGCATAAATGGAGCAGGTCAACAAGTCATTTGGCAAAGTGTGACCTGATAAAAATCTTGCAGTGAGATGGGTGCTTTTCAGTGAGGTGGAGGAACATGCATCTCTAAACATCCAATTTGATTGGTTTAATTTAAGTTATTACAAAGAAATTGATTCGTTAAACTCATTTAGATACAAATTAGTGGGTTGGCGAGATATTACTTAACAATGAGAACACGGATGTGTGAACTATTTACTGCTTAATCATCAATAATTTAAATGAACTTACCATTTGAATCGTGCACTGTTCCTGTGTGTTATTTTAAAAGAAACGTGTTGGAGAGATGTAGGAGCACGAGGCTGTTGTTGTTTATGAACAGTGGAGTATTCACTCCATTTAGCTGGTGGTTGCTCACGTTCGGTTTGCGCAACACAGGTAGCCTTGCGAATCCGGCATCAATACTTCCAGTGAGGTTGTTGGAGGATAGTTTGAGCATCTGAAGCTCATCCAGTTTTAATCAAATCGAACGGGAACGGGGATGGGGGCTGGGAACGGGGAGAACGGGGAACGAAGAATGTAATGATGGTGCAGACAAGTGGGTCAATTTAACGAGAACCTGGGTCATTTTAACATTTCCCTATATATATATACACAAGTTAGAATTGGAAGTTTCCAATTGAAAATAAATTAGTTTTTAAAAAGTACTAACCAATCATTTTCTTAGGGTTTTATTGTTTACATTATATTTTTTGGGGATTTCAAAACTTCAACAATCTTGTTGTTGATAAAATTATGAACATAAAATAAATACATATATATTTTTCACACACACAAGCATAGATATGCAATTTCTATTGGACACTACATGTTTGACTAACATATGGATGGTTGATACCATGTCTTAGTTAATAATTTAAACATGACACAAGTATTATTTTACAGTTGTTATGACATATGAAAGTTGTCACAAAGTCTAACAAAATAAGTATTTCCAAGTCAAAAGAGTCAAGTACATCTTATTAGTAGGCTACTTGTAAATGCATTCACAGCAAGAATATGTTTACTTTTTACATTACATACATATGTAAAACGAAAATCCCAAATTTAAATTTGCTTCTTTATACTTGTAACTCTATTGAACTTTCCTCAGTCAAATAACAGCTTAATATATTCACATATTTAAGCTTTATTCTCGGAACACATATTTAAGCAATTATAGTGTCCCTCATATCACCACAATCTTCACTTACTCCACCAAAATTTATTCTTGTTATTTTAAAAAATATATAATTGTTTTTCATATATTATGGTGAATAAATATATATTGGAACTACTGAAAAAATGAATTAAATGGGTGATAGATTATGGTGAGAGTTGCAAAAACTGTAGTGACATGTGATGGAGGGCAAATTGTAGTAGCAGTAGCAAAAAACTGTCATGGCATTAGCAACACCCACATACATATTAAAAAGATTTAGTTCAACTAAAATATGCAATAGACATACAAACCCTAAGAAACACGTGGGGACAAACTTATTTCTAAAACCGGCACGTCCAAATAATATGGGGAAGTTAGACCGGGATTCGGTTCTCGAGAGGCTGTTATGATTGGAACGCGGGAACGGTCCCCAGATTTGGGTGGATAAGCGGGTGGACGTGGCGAACCTACCGTTCCACTCTGTATGGGAACATGTGATAGGCTTGAACCCCCCAATTGACCCACCCCTGCTCCCCAGGATCCCAGAGTTCCCGCTTCCCGGTTCCCTTCCCCAGTTCCCACTCGTTCCCTCAATTGCTACCCAGTCTAATTACGCCAAACTTGTTTTTATTGGAGTCGCTTTCTACTTTAAAGTGTGCATAGACAGAAACTTACAAGGGATGGAATGCGTTCATCTATTCAACCCAAATTGCCCTGAAACAGATGGATCCCACTGTTTGCGGATGGATGTAACCTGGGATGACGTCTCAGTTGGATGAATGTCGTATGTTGTATTACGGAGAGGCTGCTCAAACTGAGCTGGCAGGGTCCGACACTGCTGAGGTGGAGATTAGTCCTGGAAATGCCACGTAGGATGTGGATTGGAACAAGGCTGTCCGTGCTAAGTAAGAACCATTCCCTTTTGGATAAAGCTGGAATGGTTGAGTGTTACGGCGTTCCTTTTATTACCCTTTTTTTTTTAATGTGTGTGCTATTGAGGTGAAGAAAACTTTTTAATAAATATTTCTCTATTTTTTCTACCTTTGTATCAGTCGTGTTGGTTTCTATAATCAATTTTAAATTGTAAAAAATTACGACCTAATTATATCATTCATTCTTTTTCAAACTCAAGTCTGAAACTATGAACTAGGTTGATCAATTGATTATTTTGTAATTGTATTTTTCAGTGTTTGAATCATTTCTTTTCATTCTGTGAAGGTGGTCAGTCTGAGATGCCTCTTTATTTGGTGTAATAACTTATGTGAGGTTGGAATTATACCACATCAATGACCTGTATTTATCTTTCACCAAATATAATTCTGAATATGCTCATAATAAATGAATAAGTAATCAAAGGTGATTATATATATACACACACACACACTCATATAGGTACATTCTCAAGAAGTATAGTTACAATAAAAATACCCAATTAAGAAACTATGATTCTCATTTTCGTAAATGTTTGAAATTATGCAAGAAGACAAAATCCTAAAATTCTACACTTCAAGCATGTTAAGGTGGACCAGAATTGATGATTCATTAACTAAGGTTTCACAAGTATGTTGTCCAAATGTGTCAAAGATGTTTACTTCTCATTTTTAGTGCACTACAAAAAAAAAATCAAAATAAATGAAAGTGTCATTATCTAAGATTGATTTTTTCTTTTGTTGTCTCAAATACATTTCAATAATTTATACAAGCTTTTATGTAGAATGTTCCTTGTTACTACTTGTTATAAAATTAGAGTCACTTTTACATTTCAATAGAATAAAGTATCCAACTCCAAATATGACAGCATATAGATAACTTTTCAAATTTCAAATAATTTATACATATTTCTTTTTTGTAGTATATTTGCAAGGTTAATAATATATTTTTAAACTAATAATAATAATTCCTTGAAATATATACACATAAATTTGTTTAATTTCAAGATCATAATAATTCTATTTTAAAAGTTAATTTGTATGTAACATTAAATGTCAATTTATTAGTTTTTTTAACAATTTTATTGTGTTTATAGATATTGAATTTAGATAATCATTAAGTATACATCCCTTTTTTACTACATAGACATTCCCCGTGCCACACCAACAATACACCATTGTTACAAGTTTTTTTAACAAGCTGGACAATGTTGAGGTTGAAACATATAAAAACAACAAAAAAAAAAAAAAAAAAAAAACAACAACAACCCACAACACATGAACATTAGCAATAGAGAAGCTGATCAAAGAAAACAAAACAAATAGTAAAAAGGAGGTGTCTTCCTTGCAAAACTGCTACATGGATATCTTCCTTTATTTTTTAGCTTTTGTATTGTTGATGTTTTTATGTTGTGGGTTGTTGTTTTAATACCTTTCAACCTCATTAGTGTATAGATTGTTGAAAAACTTGTACCAATAGTGTATTATTGGTGTGGCATGGAGGATGTCTAAACAAAAAAAGGGGGATGTCTACAAAAGAGTTCTCTTAATTTAATCATAATATTTTTAAATAAAAAATTTAGTGAAGTAAAAAATACGTAATTATAAATATATTACACTATTTAATTTATTTATGTAAAATTCATTTTACTTAATAATAAATGGCTAAGTAAGTTAAATCAGTAAGAATCTAAAGTAATACTCCAAGTTCCCTGTAAACTTGTTAGTATAAATACGTCTCAATGTTTATTTATTTATTTATATTTTCTAACCATTGAAATGATTTTCGAAAAATGAATCAATTTATGCTTCTAAAAACTTCTTTTTTTGATTTTTAAAATTTTTTCGTTCAATTTATAACTAACTTTCGGAACTGCAAGATTTTGTAATCCAATTTTTAAAGCTTCAACATGAATAAAAGTGCATTTGGAAGAAAATCAAGAGCTATAAATGTGCCAATTTATGCACTTTGTAAAATAAATTAAACAATATAGAATATAATCTAATGATATTATTAAAAATTAATTAAGAATTAATTACTCTGATGTAAATGCATTAAATTTAGTATTCTTATAAAATTTTCTAGAATCTTATTCAAATCTCATAAGATTTAAAAGATTATTTTTTTGTTTTTCCAACCTTAAACCCTAAAACCTAGCATTACTATAATGTCATCAGGTGAATTTAGGAACTTACATCAAACTCAAATATTCAATTTGGTAAAATTGAATATTTTACCAAATAATATCTAATAGGTATTCTGATAAAGTATAACCAATATATATTTATTCAAAAAAAACATATATAAAAAGAAAAGGAGATGATACAATGGTTATGGATACACCCTACTAGTGAAGAATATTGACAAACCTGTCTTATATTAAGTAATATAGGGCACAAAATGTCCTACTTATCCTGTATTACAAGTGAATGAGACATATAGGTACAACATACAGGTCTTTTGCTTTTGAATTATTTTAAGTCCACAGTTGTTGATTTGTGACATGAAATGTCAAGTTGTGCTTTCCATCTTTCAAGTTTGTGCATACAAAGAATAAGAACATTAAATTTCTGTATCCAAATTGTATGTTTTTCTTTTTCAGTCCGAAATCAAATTTTTAACAACTAAAATACATTTTTTTTAAAAGCACAAACTTTAAGTACAACACAAACGTGTAATTCGTAATTGAATAGTAAAGGTTTCCTGTAGTAATATCAATATGATTTTGTATGCACTGAACCATCAAATTAATTAAAGTCAAGCATTATACACATGACAGATTTACATTGATTCAGTACAAGGCACAGGCTATCAAAACCATCGATGACATAGAATTATAACACTTTTATTTAGAATGAAAACCTAATAGAAGCGTTGGTTTATTTTATTTTTATCTCTGCCTATTATGAATAAGGAAATAAGTAGTTTGGTGTACTTTAATGTAGTAAATCAGATAAAATCAAACTCAGGGCAGCTGTAAAATCTCATATTCGTAGAAAAGGGACCAAAATCAAAGAATATTCCAGTGGGGATGCACCATAGGGCGTACACGTCAGCAGCCACTTGGACGAAAAGAGGGGAGTACAGTCAGCACCCATCAATCGAAGTCTTTAAAGAAAAAGTTTCGCAGAACAGCAGGGTCGCCAGAGCCCCGAAATGAAGGATGAGATTTGGAGAAGATGAACAAAAGACGAGCGGATGAAGGCTCATGGATGAGAAGGCGACCAATGTCATGTGCGACGCCGCGGGTACGAGCTGGACGCTTGCGAGCCGGCGACCGCCTGAGAAGCAGCGGGGGTTGCGCTACAGTGGTAGAAGTCAACTGCCACCGCGGGCAATGGAATGGAATACGCAATGGGACGCGGAAGCATATGCCCCGCGCACAGGAAGGTGTGCCCAAGTTAGTTAGTTACAGTAGATTCCTGGGTATCCTACTCGGGATCACACCGTAATAACGTTGCGTCGCCCCGCTTGAAAATCTTTGCTCTGCTACACTGGTGGTTGCATTCCTGCCTACAAATTCCTCCTCGCACTTCCCCACTTCCATTCCTCCCACTTCTCGTTTTTAGCGTCTCAGTTCGTTAGTTCGTGAGTTCGTGAGTGGACGTGTCGTTGCATTGCATTGCATTGCGTTGCCCAGGTGGTAGCTAGTCTTGCTTTGAAGAGTAGAGCGCAGCTGGGTGAAGATCGTCGACGATACCTGGTTGTGGTGATTGCTGGGTGAGAGTTTAGTGTGGTTGAATTGGTGGGAGTGGGGGTTCAAGAGGACCAATGCAGGGAGAGGCTGTTCACGGCATTTCCTTGCCGTCGTGCACTGCTGTTATTGACATTGGGGCCGTGACGACGCGGTTACAGCGGAGTGTGAGCTTTGTGGAGTTGCGTGTTGGTGGGCTGGCGTCTGTTTCGAGTCTGCACGCTTCTGGGGAGCTTGTTGGGAAGGGGAAGAGTGACTGGGGCAATGAGGGGAGGAGCTTCAGCTTTGGAAGCAGGTCGAGTCGTCCCGCGCACTCGATGGTGGAGATCGTTGGCGAGGCTTGTGAGTTTCATTTTTCTGGCTCTTCGGGACTCTTGATTTTTCGCTCGTTCTTGCCACGGTGATGTTGCCTGTGTGTATCGAAGAGACGGTGGAATTGGCGCGTACTGTGTTTTGTCCTTGCGTTGCCGTCGTTGGATAGATACAGCTCAGTGGAAATTTACGCCCTGCGGGCCTAGCTAAACTTAATTAGCTGACATGCACAAACTTTTCTTGTTGCAGTGACGGAGGCCTCATTGCCTGCCCAGGCCTGTAGAAACCAGGACTTGGCACTGGACATTGGCTTTAATGGGATCCCTGAGGCCATTGCATCCGTCATCTTCGATGAAAAATTAGATGAGACCAGCTCGTCTCTGGTGATAGTCGGGCACCGCGGTTGCGGCAAGAACAAAACTTTGCCTCACGGTGCCATTCCCGAAGCTCGTCTCTCAATTAGAGAGAACACCATCATGTCGTTCAATTTGGCCGCCCGAAACGGTGCCCAGTTCGTCGAGTTCGACGTCCAGGTGACCAAAGATGGTGTCCCAATCATCTTCCACGATGATGAGATCATCGCCGACAGCAAGCCTCCCAGACACATCGGCGACATTTCGGTTGCAGAATTCCGCGCCATGGGACCCCAAAAGGGTTCCACCATGGGCAAACCTCTCTACCGCAAAGCTTCCGACGGCTCAACTACTCTCTGGACGGCCGACGTAGAAGACCAAATGTGCACTCTCGAGGATGCGTTCGCCCAAGTGAACCCCACAGTCGGATTCAATATTGAGATGAAGTTTGATGACAGTGGTCTGACTTCCGAAGCGGAGCTTCTTCGAGTGATCGACGCCGTCTTGGCCGATGTGCGCCAGCACGCTAATGGGAGAATGATATACTTCTCCACCTTTCACCCCGACGCTGCTCAGATGATCCGGAAAAAGATGCCGCTCTACCCAGTATTCTTCCTCACTGATGGTGGCAGTCATGTGTATAACGATCCTAGGCGCAACTCAATTCAAGCAGCCATTGAAGTGTGCCGCGAGGGGAACTTGCAAGGAATTGTGAGTGAAGTGAAGGCTGTATTGCACCAGCCGGCGTTGGTCGCGCTTGTGAAAGCATCAGGATTGTTCTTCTTCACCTACGGCGAACTGAAGTGAGCTTCTCCCTATCTTCTCGCTCAATTAACGATTGAAAACCATCACTCTGAATAATGTTAAGCATCAATATCAATTACACGAATGGTATGTTTGGTCTCATGAGAATGGAGAACTAATACGAAAATTTTCAATTACTCCTTTTCGCAGTAACGTTGGGGAAGCGGTAATCAAGCAGCGAGAGTGGGGCATTGATGGAGTTATCGTCGATCATGTTCTAGAGATTGTGCGCGTTGCGCGGCAATTGGAGGAGCCTGCTTCATCCTCGAATGCTGCAATGGCCAGGAGTGTTGTCGTTGTGTGAGCAACGGATGACACGCTTCTAAATTATTGAGAATCAATAACTCGGCTCTGCCTGAGTAGAGATGTACATTAGCCAATTCTTTTGACGATGAATAATTCATTTTATAATCCTCATTCTAGAACAAACGACCATATTTTTTTTTTGTCGAAGCGCTCAACGCTGTAGAAACTGATAGGAGTTTTTTGGCGGTTCGATTGTGTTGATAGTAGCATTCTGTGGGTGCTTCCTGATATGCATTAAACCCCATCAAATCCTTCTGCATGAGGATTGTATTGATCTTGTACCTTGTATACTAATGTTGAACATTTTTTCGAGTAACCGCTTGAGTGATCCTTTTGATGCCTGTGAAATCGGATGTAGATGCATATAGTGACAGCTTAACGAAGAGATTAAATGGCGAATAATGAGTCCGTTTCATGTAGATATACATGACCAAAATCTGGTTGATCTCTAGAATGCACGCTTCCTGTAAACTTCCCAGCCGCCTTGGTGGGTTGGTTTGACAAAAGCTGCAGAAACTCGTTTTACAACTTTGAAGCTGCCTCGTTCCAGTTTTTTCTAATCATCACACATAGGACAGTCCAAATGCATGGTTAGCAAACCTGTCCACTACTGCCGTTCCTATTCCATTACAGTCTCTGTTTAACTTGTATTTTCTTGTACTATATCAATTCTTGTAGGATTTCGTGCAGATCTTCTACTCTTAAAGTTTACAGCCCGGTTTCATTATTATGCGATAAATGTGAGGGAAGAATCACATGCACTGAAGTGAAGACGCAAAAAAAAAACCATGAGGAACAAGAGAGAACATTCCCGCTTAAAGGTCATCACTTACTTTTCGAACCGAAATACCCGGTTCCACTTTCCCCGCAAGATGTGATCCTTTCAAATTGAAACATCCATAGCTTTCCTACAAGTCTCAGTAGCTATTAGATAAGTGTAATTCTCTGAAACAGAAACCACATGCAAATGACCCTCATCAACAAATCCTTACACTTTGCATCACAAGTTGGGGTACTTCATTGTCTCTATGATGGTAAGTACACTAAAACTGCCAACCTGTGAAAGATTGGGAAGGTGATGTCTTACAGCATATGGGCGCCACTCGTAGTGCCGCGGTCTTTCCACCACCAGCGTTCGTATGAGTTTGGTGAGCTTGTTAGGTCTAGCACACAACAAATACCAAGTTTTCTATTACTGTCATTTGTACTGATACTTGCGTAATTGCACTAAACAAGCTCTCGCAACCTTCCGAAACAACTGAAATAAGAGCCATGATAACTCAAAATGAGCGCGTCAATTTTCAGCGGCCTCACCGATCGTATTTGTTTACGACCAGGACGTTCATGCGCCTCAGAACGTCTAATCCCTTGACTACTTGGGCAAAGATGGTGTGGAGCCCTAAAACGGTGTTGTCAGGTGAGAGATTAAAATTGCGGTCCTTCATCGCAAGCTGCACATCTGTTATGGGGCATCTCTGAGAAAGTAAAGAATCTAATACCATCGAGCCAAGGGCAAGGACCAAGAGTGATGTAAAATTGGCTGCCATTGGTATCGGGCTTTCGTTTGTTGCACATAGATACCACGCCAGCCTTATTGTGCTTCAAATGAGAAAGTTCGTCCTCAAAAGTTGGTCTGCACTGACATTCCCGACGCACAGTGATATTGCTCTATTAGAAGTCTACCACCCAGAGGAGAGAGACCACAATGTTCCGAGTATTCGTGACATGAGTATTGTCTCATAGGCATCAACCTTATGTAGAAGCTCTCCTGAGCCGTACCCATAGATTGACTCACCTCCTCGCCCTGTTGACGTTGGATCACCGCATTGCACCCACAAACCCTTCGTCACACCAAAAAAAACCGCATCAGCACACGAAGATATTCATCATCCCTTCACAACACTGCGACCGAAAACTAATGCGCTGGGTTCTCGTTGCACATTGATGTGCAGAATCCACTCCATCCATGGAAACTGGCAGTTGTTTCGATGCATGGAACACTTCCATGGTATTAACAAGAGCTCACCTTCTGAATTCGGTTGAACAGACATAGGTCGTAGTAGCCCTTCCGACAATGCTCCAAAAAGGAGTGGCACGTCTTTGGAGACTCGTTGAAAAAGAACTAAGCCCACATTCAAAGATTCATTGTTTTCGGTACTCTGCACGGTGACCTCAAAATACAGTGGTACAAAAAAAATAAGATAAAAAAAGTCGAAAACCCGGTGTTGAAGAGGGAGCAGACCTCGAGCGTCATATCCCCAGCAGTTGTGTCCAATATGACCACTGGGTATATCTTCTCTTGCTCTGGGTACGGATAGAGCATCCGGCTTGTTACCCCTCGTCTCATATCCGAGCTCATCACTTCACTCAACAGCGCCATTTCTAAAAATAATGCCTTCAAACTTAATTAAGAAAAAAAAAAAAAAAAAAAAAAAAAACACTAACTAACTAACTAATCAACTAACTAAAGAGCTGATTTAGTCTGACATATTAGAATATAACTAAATGTTATGGCTAAAAATATATATATATATATATATATTTTTTTTTTCTTAATTAAGTTTGAAGGCATTATTTTGTATATAGATTGTCCATGGACATTTTTTTTAAATTTTTTTTGTATATTTTAAAATATTTAAAATATAAAAGTAAGATGTTTAGCAAAAATAATTTGTTTCTATAAAAATTACAAATTATAGTCTCCACCTAAATGGATTTGTAGCTATTTTATAGAGTAAAAAAGTTTTCCAATTCTATGCTTGTATATTTGAATAGAATTCTAAAATATATAGATAATTATTTAAAATATAAATATATATATATATATATATATAATAACAAGCTTAAATGCTTGTATTATAATAATAATAATAATAATAATAATTATTATTATTATGATTTTATGCATCAAATCTATAATGGCAAATAAAGCATAATAATATGGCTTCTTTTTTTGCTCTAACATTTGTCTATAAATCTTTTGATAGAAATGTTACTCATCCAAAATATCTATATCCAACTACAAGAGTGTTATTTATCTGAGGAACCAATACTTATAGTGGATGATATCCTTTAAAGAATCTTGATGGCATGGTATTAGAAGAGTGATAAGTGAGGAGATAAGGTGCCATTATAAGACCATCAAACTAACAAGAGATGTAGTAAGATAGAGGAGTACTTAGGGATTGAAAAAAACTACTTAGTAGACAATTAAGAAGTAGCTTAATATGTAGCAGGTTCCATGCAATAGCACCACAAGTCAAGATATTGTTGGATCAAAGGCCGTATAATTTCAATTGAGCCATAAACTTATCTTTGTCTTTTTTCATCATTGTATATATTGACTCCAATCTTGCAAGGTTGTGTTTTATACTTGCCACTAATTTCAAAAGCCCAAATAAAAATTACTAACTATGCTAAAGAAAATTGCGTGACAAAACCTTAAGAGATTCAAAAGAAATTGAATATGAAATCTATTAACAAAATGAACAAAGAAATTGGAGCAAGAAGGGATACGAGAAGATCTCTTCTTAGTCGATAGGAGCACGTGGAACTTGAAAAAAATTACTACTAATTGTAAAGGAGTTGGAGACTTACAAAGTTGATTACAACAATATATCAGGGTAATAGAAGATCATATAATAACAACTTTACAAGAGATGTCACAACATTATAAGGATTTTAGACAAGTAGTCCAGAGTTCATAACTTAAGTACTAAATACCTCAAACTCAGCAATCAAGTATAGAAATACAAGAAAACCATGACTAGGCTCCATAAAAAAAATTTGCTAATGACATCTATTTCAATTCAAGCAATCATAGTCAACTTGAGACAACCCATTTTAAAGTATTTTTTTTGCAATTGCACAAGTGATCTCAATGAATATATCAAAGCATATTCATTTATAGTAAAGATTAATGAGATTATATCATTAAAAATATTGAAATATAAATTTGATATAACGTTATAAAAATTAGTAATTATATGGTTTTTATTATTTATTTGTAGGCATATCAAGACCACTTAGGAGAAATTTGAAGTAAGCTTTGTAAAATAATTCAGGTGCATGAAAATCAATAACAACATTATATTGAAGTTTTCAAAAATTAGGAAAGCCAACCATAAGATAATAAAAGATTATTTAAACCAATTTATGAATTTCTTAGAAATACTTAATACTATTGTTAGTGAATCTATTTAGACTTCATGGTTCAAAGAGGGCTTATTACTAAATATCAGATAAGACATGATATATATACAATCCAAAAACATAGAAGAAATACTCAAAGTTGCGCTTGAGATTGGATATACATTTTTAATTGTATGAAAACTTAAACAAATGAATTCAAGTGAAATATTAACAATGTGTAAATATTGCCACAAAATATATTTTAGAGATTATTGGTGGAATCCTTCAAATCCAAATAATTGGTTGAATGTCACTTGAGAAAAGCTAAGTACTGCAACCATAGAATTAGAGGAAGAAATCCAATACAACACATTCTATCTATAATGCAAAAATTCCTATAGTCAAGCATGTATTTTAAATGTGGGAGTAATTACCAAATCAATAATTACACTTATATATAATAATAATGGACAAAGTATCAAAATCACCAGAACTTGTATTATAGAGGGATAACCATCACAAATATTAAAGAACAACACTTATCAATAATCTCAATAATAGAAGCCAAGTATGCTACAATAAGTACTTGGATTAACTAACACCAACTTGAAGTACATATAGAAACAAGAGAAGAATCTTGCTTCTCATATACTAGAAATATTGGAAGTAGCATTTTCTTGTTGCAAATGCTATCTCAATTCAATAAAGGCAATATCAAATGAATCCCAACTACATGCAAACCATGAAGCAAAATTTGCATAAACTCCTATAAGCAAAATTTATTTTTCTCATGGATTTTGCCTCCTAGTTGTCACCTATAGTAATCATTCCAAAAATCAAGAGCTCTACAAATTTTTATAGATTTTTGTAGATTAAACGTTGCTACAAAAATGATCATTACTTCCTCCCATATGTAGAAAAAATCATTGATGAAGTAGTAGGCTATAAGATCTATAGCTTCATCAATTATTTCTTGAGATACTACCAAGTAGCTATGGCATTGGAAGACAAAAAATAAAATAGCATTTGTTGCAAAATGGTGACCATTCTAGGTCAAATAAATATTGTTTGGTACAAAAAATGTACTAATGACATTCCAACATATGATGGAATTTGTGTTTTAACTATATCTCTAAAAATTCTTTCAAATATACCTTAATGATAGAAGCATCTACAAGCCTAAAAATAAATACATTTAATATTTGCAAAAAATCTTTGAAGCATATTAAAAATATGATATCAACCTCAACATAGACAAGTTCATGTTTTTATTCTTTTTTGGACTCATATTTAGATATATTGTTTATTCTTTGGAGAAGTTATTAGACTTCAAAAAAATCAAATAATTAAAGATCATATTCACACCTCAAAAATAAAAAGCCATATAAAGTATGTTCGAGATTTCTTAATTCAATAAAATATTCATAAGAAATTTGGCACACTTGATCTCACCTATATTTAAACTCAATAAACTTGAGTATAAATACAAGTTACATTAGCATGAGGCAATTGCTAAAGCTTTTAAGGAAGTCAAACATGTATTCACAAATCATCCAATATTGATGGCACCTAATTTATAACTCTCCATTTGCATATACATCAATACATTTAATATTGTGATGAAAGTAATATTTATGTAGAATCACATAAGAAAAATTTATCAAATTGTATCATATACAAATAAAAGGTTAAATATGGTAGAATAAAATTATTTGACCATAGAACACAAGACCTTGGCATTAGTCTATGATGTAAAAAAATACAAGCATTATTTTCTTGAAAAAAATTTTCAATTTGTTACCAATTATCATGCATTACTTTAGCTAGTAAATTAACCTATAATTATTAGATATATAGTTCAATAGATAATATTGCTCATAGAATATGACTTTGAAGTTATTCACATTTTTTAGATATAAAATTTAATCTTGAATTATCTTTTAAGAACTCCTAATATGATATCAAATTTAATTATTGACAAATCATTTTTAGATCCATACTTATTTAGTGTTGTTGTGGATATAACTTTATTTGCAAAGAATTAGATGCATAATATTATTAAATATTTGACTACTAGACATATCTTGTCTACATTCACAAGATTGTGTTATCTTAATTTTTTACATTGTACATTACCATATATGTATATTGATAGTAAACTATATAAACTTAGGATATAAATGTTCTATTTATATCAAAGAGTAAAATCAAAATTTGTACAAATAGAACAAGCTTTATTATGACTCATATCTCTACTTGCACTATTTATGCATTGAAGGCTCAACTTTTTTAGATCCATGAAATTTCTTATGCAAAAAAAGAATAAATGTATACTTGCGGCCACCAATTATGTCACCAAATGATATAAGACATGTACATTAAAAATTAATACTACCGTGATGACTACCAATTTTTTTTATAAAAATATCATCATTTAATCTGAATGCTTAATTAAAATAATCTTATATCATGGATATACATATGTATTCTAGTAAATACCTATATGATTAGATAGAAGTACGTAAAAATAGATAAAAGTAAATTAATTTTATAATATCTTCTAGAGAAGCTTTGTAGAAGCTTTATAGTTACTACTTTTATTTTACATATATTTGTAGTTGATTGGTAGATTAGAAACTTGGTCAATAAGTTAACCACATGTTGGTAATTTGTGGAACAAGCAAACCATGTGATGCACATATAAAAAACTTGCCTTACAAGTTAAGATATGTATCTTATAAAGTCAATACATTTTAGAGATCTTATAGGACATCGCGACATAGCTCCTAATTAAAAATACATATAGAGGCAAGAATGAAGCCCTCTTCACTCTTGTCAACACCTTTTCTAGTTCTTAGTTTTGTTTCAAGACTTTCTTCTCTTCTTGTTTTTCATAATAGCCATTCTAGTTCAATATTATATCATCTTTGAATGACTTCCTAATTCTCTTAGGTGACACAAGAATGTATTGAGGATTTCTTTCTTTAAGATTCATATTCTTCATAGCTTGAATCAAAGAACATATTTTATAAATGAAATAATCAAGCAACTTATAGATAAATTCATCATGAAGCATTATATATCCACAATCTATTATTCTTAAGACAATGGCTTAGCCAAATCTACCAACAAA